GTCTTTTTTTGTCCTGGTTCTAATCATAGTCACTTCTCTGTACTTTTGGCTCACTCTTTCTCTCTCACATTGAAACAAAAAAAAGACTCATCAAACAAAGCAGATGTGTGTCCGACCTTGGGCAATAGGAGTGATGGTCATAACATGAATGTAAAGAGTGGGAGTAGGGGTCATCAATCCTTGATGGCCAAAAACAGACGTTCCTTTTTGCTGCCCTAATTACTTTGAGCAATCACTGCGGGTTTTGTGCATAAGCGAACACAAACAGGCATATATACATACGGAGGCAAACACACTCACAGGCATCAAAGTTGACATATGACCTTAACTAACCAAATCACTTTATACTTGATTGAAGAGGCTAGATATAGAGTATATATACCACTTTTTAGGGATTTTCCAGTGAGTTTTCTTGACCCGTAAGCTTGAATTTTGTTGTCACGATGATACGTTGCTCTGATGATGTTCGTTGTACGGGCGAAAGCATAGCATCTTTTCACCGGAATCTAAGGAGATTACCTCGGAAACAGCGTCACCATGAAGGTTGCAGTAAGGCCAATCGACAGCTGATCAAGAAGAATCACCGTTGTCTTCTGGTAGAATCGACCTTCGAATCTCTTCACCCAACACTTTTACTCAAAATGGAAGTAAGCTCAACAATTACGCAGTCCCGGCCAAAGCTTTCTCTTGGGTCATTAGGCCCTGATAATCAGAGCCTGACATTAACCTTTTTATAACTCAGGACCAGCATTGTGTATGGACGCTAACACACACACACTCGAGCAAAAGTATCAGGACAAATATGAATTATAACTAGCCAAACCACTCCCTATCTATCTAGGTTTTTAATTTTCTTTTTTCTTAATTGAGTCTATATAAAAGGCAAGATAGAACCGGCTAGTCTTCTTGCCCTAGTATTAACATGAGACTTTTACATGAATGATACCCAGCTCCTATGATGTCCATTACATGATGGGCGAAAGCTCAGCCCGTTTGCACCCAAAACGAGTGAGGTCTCGTGGACTGCGTCAACCTGAACGTCGTATAACAGCCAAACGACTGCAGTAAAACGGGCTTCATCCGCCCTTTTCTGATGAGATCAACCTACGAATATCTTCTTCATGCACTTTCATACGAAGTGAAAGTTCCTCAACATGCATCAGAGCTTAAAACTAAATATTAGGAGATAATTTTGCACATTTAAGCAATTGCATTATCAAAAAAGTAGTATTAATTTCCCATGACTTAAATGCAGGTCTTCCGATTCATTGAAATGTTGTAACTGCATCAATTTCCTTTAGTATGATAACAACCATAAAGATTACTGCATTAAATATGATATCTTTTATCAACCTTGCTAATATTATTATTATTATTAGTATTAACAACAACTAATCGCTTCCCAAAAGTTTATGCTCACGATCTATGATTATGAAAATTCCAAACTTATAAAATAGTAAAGATTAATATGCATGAAGTTGATGTAATCACTGCCTTCTATATCATTCGCCCATGTACAGGCTCCGTGAAAAATGCGCCAACGTTTGGGAGTATGTTATTGAAAAGATGAGAATGGTCACGATTGACTTCTACATTGCAATGCTACAGAGTCTAAGCGAGGAATCGGTAAGTATTGCTAAAATGGTCAGGATTTATTTTCAAATTATTGCTGAGTGTAGACTTACTTACTAGTACTAATTGGTTTCGCATGAAAGAGGTTATTTGATCTTATTCGGGCAGATGCTTCACCATACATTGCTAGGTTTTTAATGCGAGCCCTTTGATCTCTTCTGAGTACCCCTCAGTTTTCATTGCTCATTTTTAAGGTGGTTCTCCGAAGAATGCGCGTCAAACCGCTTCTTGTCGAGATTTATTAGGAGACTGGCTCCAAACTTTCGCTTTTGGCTTATTGCAACTTTAATGAAGCAGAGGATTGGCATTGTCGAGGAAGTTCATCCTGCAGCATGATTCAAACTCCCGATTAAGTTATTAAGAAGCAAATAGGCCAAAAGAGTTCAGACTTGATACAATAGTTGATACAAACTAAGTCCGCTTCCAGCAAAGTTGCGAAAATAAGCCCTTTTCAGTTCACATATGAAGTGTTAAATTCACATTGAATAACAGGATAATTATATTATACTAAAGAGAGTAGTTGATGAAACAACTGCAATTCGTGTAAAATTATTCTTTTAGCAAAGCCACCAAAATTAACGCACAGTTTCCTCGAATTAGCCATTAAATATCCACACACCCCAATAGTGAAGCCTATTTCAAAACCCTACCTACTCTATCTACCCTTGGATTACATGTAATTTGCCTGCACATCAAAGATTTACACTAAACGCTTTAGCAACCTTACTGATAAATCTAGAACAAACTATAGCCAATTTTTGCCCACATCAATTTAATTTAGTATGACTATGGCTAAAATTATTACTGCTAAAGAGTAGAGATTCCGAAACTGGTATAATACCGAATTTAGCCTAAGAAATAACATGTAATTCTCCAAGCTGAATTTAAGTCAATAAATTCAATAAAGCCAAATAAGGCTGTAGCATATCCTCCTTTTTACCAATGATTTATTAGCCAATTTATATTCATTATCACCTAATTCACGCTCTTATTTCTTCCAGGAAATCTACACAACAGACCGAAGAACAATGGATCGATTTCTCCGAGACATGGAACAGCTAAATAAAGAAATCAACTACCACAAAGACGAGCTAAATCAGGCGATGGATCATTTCGTTAGCAAGTTAATCACACTTGGACGTAAGTAGGCTCACATAACCTGACGAAATTTTGTTAAACTAAATCAGTCACTCAGTGTTAAATACGAATCTCTTATTGATAGATCTAGCAATCTTCACTATATATGGGAGTAGCTTCCTCCCAGCTATTAATTTTACGGGGAATAATAGTGTCATAGCTGTATGTGCTCTTTTACAAGGTAGCATGTGGCATTTATACATAATGCAATATTAAAATGAGTATCTTGCTAGGCTCTAGGTAATATATTGTATTTTAATACCCTTGGTAGTCTTACTGGTATGTTCAGATGACTTGAAAATGTTTTGAATGAAGAGGCATTAAAAATATTTAACAGCATGGAGAACGCTGCCTGCTTTTATGTAAGTAAAGTGGGCTTAAATTTTTAATAACTCTCATGCCTATTCACGAACTCATAATCATTACCGTGTCCATGCTTAGATCTAACCCTACACTCACGCAAATACCCATCAGAAAAAGAACTACCCTAGTGCTCTTCAAAAGTAAAACTAGTGAAAAATTGGGACTTTTCCTACCCTCTATCTTCGCTTCTTGAATAGGTATTTAAATTTATTCTTTAGGTGGTGATCGAGAGCCTTCTGACAGCCCAGTTCTTCGAGAGTCAGACATAGTGAAATTATCTAGTCCAATGCTACGCATCTCTGACCACCAGACACAATTAAACGCATTGATTGAGCGCAGTGAACGCCTGGGCCGACGTGTCATTGAGCTTTTGCAATCACTGGAAGTTGACAGAAACAGAATCGGCAATGAACTCAGCGAAATGGAGTGAGTTGGTTTTTTATTTTTCGACTTCCCTGAGGCCCAATTGGTTTGATTCTATCTGGAATTAAGACATATTCTTACTCTATCGCTATTAATTTTCATATTCTTAATAACTATCTATAAGATAGAAATGGGTTCACCTCGTTATCGCAACTTGGTCTTGTTGTCCGGGAGATTTATTATACCGCACCTAGTTCAAAGTCCTCTGTCATAGTAGTTATCATAATTCCAAGCATCATACATTGGTCATGGTACATTCTCAAACGTTTCGCTGGCATCGTAGTCGGCATCATCAGGGAGTGCCTCCATTCTCCGCACAAAGCTATGAACGCGTCAGAGACAAGTGAAGTCAATCCTTCCACCAACGTCCTGCCTAAAACGGTTAACTATCAGTCATCTTTCTGTCCTGGCCTATCTATCTACCCTTTACCCTTTTATCCAACTCCGTCCCTATTACAACTACTGACTTGTTTACATTCCACTTGTCAAAATGTGCGCCCTTTTTAGCAATGTACGTGCTTCTAAGGGCTGGAGTGAGACGCACACTGGGACTAGAACCGAGTGAAATCGGTCAACCAGAAAGATAAGGAAGAGACCTACGGGGTCAGGGTGAATAGCAGGTGTGATGAGGCCACACTGAATTTGCCAAAAAAAGGCATACATCTTGACGAGTGGAATGAAAACAAGTGAGAAGTTTTGATAGGGCGGGAGTTGGATAAGAAGGTAAAGAGTAGATAGATAGGCCAGGACAGAAAAAGGAAAGATAGTGTAACCGTTTTCGGCAGAATATTGGTGGACTTCACTTGAATCTTTGACGAGTTCGTAACTTGGTGCGGAAAATGGCAGCACTCATTGTTGATGCCGACTATGATTATTGGCGAAATATTTGAGATTGTACCAAGTCCACCGTCTGATGCTGGGAATTATGATAACTACTATGGCAGAGGACTTCGGACAAGGTGTGTTCTACTAAGTCTCCCGGACAACAAGACCAAGTTGGGACAACGAAGTCAACCCACTTATATAGATCGAAAGGAGACTGCAACCATACCGGAGGTCACATCATCTTGGTCTTCATATCTTCGATTATCTATAAGATAATTAATAGGTGGCAATTGTCTGTATTCTGCTGAAAAATGCTAGACTCAAAAAGGTTCTCTGTTTCATTTAGCCAATCTCCGCCCATTCATTCTCACATAACAGCCATCTCGTGGTAAGATTCATACCAGATAACTGACTTCTTTTGTCATCTTTTACGCGTAGACGACTTCACCACGAGAATCAATCCCAATTGAATGCGATGATAGAAAGACTTCAACAGTGGAGAGGTACCGGGCGACGTCGCTACTCTCGACGGACTACGGAATCATCACGAACGCGACAGCGCATGACAATGGAGGCGGTGCGCGGCCTCTTTCCTAGAGACACGGACTCTTCTCCACTAGATGACGATAGGGACGAAGAAATCGAATACATTTTCCAGGATATCGACCCCGTGTTTCTAGTGCCCCGGTCGCATTCAACAATGGAAGTATTCGATATTGGTAGTGGTGGTGGTGGCGGCGGCGTTACCAGCAGCATAGGAGTTGCGCCAAGCGGTTTATATGGCATAGACCCGGATGTAACGACTCACAGAAGCAGAAGTTACTCACGTGTCGAGACGTCCACTCTGCCCGCCCGAATACGCTCTATCCAACGCCTTTTTCCACGTCACTACCAGACCAATTCCCAACAGCAACTGCATTCACGGCGAAGATACAGCTACTTAATGGAGCAAGTATTTGATGATGCACATACTGATTCTCAATTACGACACCATTCACAGCCGGCATACAGTCTTGATTCGATGACTCGACATTCAGCTTCCATGACCCCAGTTATGCCCCGGATCACGACCTCACAAGCAAGTGTTCGCACCGGTAGTGCTCCGGGCACACATAACGTCCGATGTCAAGTCTCTGTCGGCAAGCTGAATGTACAGACACAGATCGGTGTAGCTAAGCGCAACTCGAGTTCTCAAGCGGATCTGGTCATCGAGAGTCAAACAATGCCAACCTTGGTCAGCGAAAGGTTAACTGTTAGCAGTTTAAGGAGGCCACTTGTTCAAGATGCAATCACACAAATTGGTGTCTGTACTCATGACACCAAAGCTCAGACCATCGAAGCATGGCCCTCTGACCTCTCAGGACGCAGCTTATCCGAGGCTTGTCCCCGTTGTAAGGCCGAACCGATAGTTCACACAGCCTATTCAAAGGGGCAGAAGATGGCTAGAGCAATGAGTCAACCTGCACAGGCGGTGAAGGTGCACAAAAAGCTGCAAGTTCTTATGATTGAGCCAGCTAAGGACGCTCAGACTCAAGTTGGATTGGTCTCTCGTGATTTCACTGCGAAGGTAGATTTTCCCGGTATGGGTAGTCTCCCAAGACGTAGTTTGGAGGATAGTGCAATGTATGTACCGATGAAAACGGAGGCAGTCACCACAAAATCAGCAGAACATCAGAGCCAAATGGTGCAAACGCTCAGTCAGCGCACGATGGTAACTTCATCCCAGACGCGAACAGATCTGAGAATCTTGTCACCTGATAATTTGCGTGACATGGCAGTTCAGATTGTTCCAGCCACTGCTACTGCCCTTGTCGACTCGGCAGTAGAACTAGTGATTCCGACTACCAAATCAAAAAGATCAGTAGAACAGATGATACAAGTTGATCTCAGATCTCCGGAACTTATTAAGGGAGAGGATAGACACGGAAAGAAGTTGCAGGTAAATATCCAGCCGGTCACTATAAACAGACAGACACAGTGGTACCAAGAGGAAGTGCGGTTTAACGTATTCTCCCAGACAAAGTCTGCCAATATTGCGACTGTGACAGCACAAGTAGAGCACAAGTTACCGCAGACAGATATGGGAACTTCAACAAAGGCAAGTCAAGTTGAGGCTGAACTTCTACTCTCTGCTCAGCTGATAGTCGATGACGTAATTCAGGCATGTAAGTCAACTTGTGACAAGGTTACACAGTCAGCATCACCACCGCGTGACTTTGCCAGCTGTCAGACTTTGGTTATTCATACAGAGGAGTCGTGCTGCCAGCAGGTGACCAACCTTGCCCTAGCAACTATACAAACTGACACGGTGACTCAACCTGCTCAGATCACCTGGGCGAGCCAGACAGAGGTTAGTTTGACAT